TATGACACAACAGAGCGCCCACCTCCCGCCCAGAGGACCTGGGCCCACTCTGGGAAGACTGTCAGCCCACACCAGCAGGGGGCCATGGGTGCAGATGGCAGCATGGCTTTGCACAAGAGGGCCTTGGGAGAGACCTGAGTTAGCCAGCTGCACCCAGCCCCGGGGTCTGATCCAGGGCTGCTCACCGGATCCCGTCTGTACCAGAAACGGGAGCGGGGCCGCTGGACACTGCCGTTCTGCCCCAAAGATTGAAGACAAGCCCCCTTGGCTTTTCAGTTGATGTTTTGTCCTTTCCAGCCCTGGATGGAGCGTAGGGAGCCTTAGTGGGGACCATAGGGAAGCTGGAGGGGCCTCTTTTTCCCTAACGGGAGGAGGCACATTCCACCAGGTCTCAGGCGGTCTTCCCAGTGGGCTATTTAAAGCAAGGCCAAGGGGGTATGTGACGCTTGGTGCCCAATATAGCCAGCAGCTGTCAGGTGACCATGTGGCTTGTGCCCCTCAGTTGCTTTGTAGGGAGCCCTAAGTGTTTCCGGCTGTGGCCTGGGGACAGTGGGTGCTCTGGGCCTGGCTGCTCCCTTGCACCTTCCCGGGTTTGGAGGGAGGAAGGCAGAGGTCTGGTGGGGCTAGTGAGAATCCTCTGTTCTTCCTTCTTTCCATCTCAGGTCCACCAGACTCTTTCCAAAACTGTACCTTCTGCCTGTGAACCAGGGAACCCAACCCCATGCTCGGTCGTGTCATTGGAAGCAGCCAGAGCAAGTGGTGGCTTCCCTTGGCTCCAAGAAGGGGGAAAAATAGCCTTGGCTGCCCGCAGGGCCCTTTTCAGAGGGTGCTGCTGGCTGGCATGGCAGTGAGTGGAGGGGGAAAGCGAGCAGGGCAGAGAGGAAAGCTGGCACAGCTGGAGGAAACATTTCTGTGTGTGGTTCTCTCCTGGCACAGAGAACCTTGCGACAGAGCAGACAGGCATCCTGGAGGCTAGACAGCTGCCACTTGGTACTGAAGCTTCCCTGTTTCCTCCTTGCAAAACTGATACTCCAGCTCCCCCGGCGGAGCGGGTGGGTGTTAGTGACCGATAAGCTAAGCCAGTGTGTCGATAGCTCAGGGCCCCCACAGCTTCTTGCTCTGTCCCTGTTGTTTTGTCAGGGTGGTTTTCAGCCACCCTTGCCCCCAGGGCATTGTTTGAGAAGCAATTAGAATGAATAATAACCTACAGTTGTTGATTTGTGGGGTCCAGAGGCCTGACCAGCAAGGCAGGGATGCCCACGATGCCCGCTTCTGCCTTGGCTCCAACTTGCTGTGGGACGTATATACTGGGACCCTGAGCAGTCCCCGCTTCCCCAGCCCTGTAGTGTTCCAGGACAGGAGGAGGCATTTTCTGCTACTGGTGATTGTCTTGAAGCCCCAGAAGCTGGGCATCACCTTTCTGTCCCAGCTCAGGGACTGCATTCAGGGGACGCCCACCCACCTGTGTCTTCCAGGCACAGAGACTCTCCTCCCCACCTGCCTGGAGCGTCTTGGGGAGTAAGAGCCAACAGAGGTAGCCATGGGCTCACCACTGTGCCCTCCCTCACCCACCTTCCCGCTCAGCATCTGTCTCCACCGTGTGCTACCCATCACTGCAGGACGTGTAGTCTCCCCGGCCACCAACCCAGGCCAAGTCCCAAGGCTGCTGCTGAGCCAAGAACACTTGGACTGGCCTTTGGTTTCCACTTTTCCCTGGATCGTTGTTTTTCTTTCTAAGTAGATATTAGCTTGTTTGCTTTGGGGATAATATCTGGAGGATGGGGAGGGAGACTTTAGCCCTGGCGTGAAGACAGGCAGGCACAAGAAATCAGCATCCGGCCTCGTCCGTTGGGACCCTGCCCAGGAGGGCCATTCTCCATGCTGCCCAAAGACCCACCTTGAAGTCAGCATTACACAGGTGCAGCAGAGGGCCAGCTACCAGGGCGGACCCTGCCCTAGCCTCAGTCTCGCCATCCTTGCCTTTTCCCCCGGGTTTAGAGCCAGGCCCTTGCATTTCTGGTGATTCGCGATTCAGGGAGATTTGGGGCTCAATGGGATCTAAATGGGCCTAGTGAGGAGCACCCGGACAGAGCCCTGAGTTGAGAACACCTGGCAGTGAGTGGCCCAAGCCCCTCACAAGAGATGGCAGCTGCTGCCCTTGTCTAGGACACAAATAGGCAGATCTGCCATGGGTCCTGCCACATCCTAGGAGGTAAGAGATAACTGGGCAGACCCTGCCTAAACCTCTTGGACTGGGGTAAGGCAGGGACAGGGAGGGCTCTGCCTTGTTCCTAGGAAGAGGGCGGCTCAGTAGGCAGGTGATAATTCCCTCCCCGGCCCGGGCAGCCAAATCCCTCATTTAAGCCCCCTGAATAGCAAAAGCTTAAACTAACTTGCAGAGTAAGCGGATGCCCTGGGCCCCTCTGCCTGCTCAGCACACAGGGAGGAAGCCACCCTCGCAGAGGGCTGCAGGCCTATGTCCCCCAGTGCTGGCTCCCAGCCAAAGGAGAGCCCAGGTTTGAACAAGAGGCCATCCAGAGACTGATCAGGTGTGTCCCCCAGGGTAAATCGGGGCCCTCTACCTTTGGGGCGGGGGACCCTTGCTGCTCCGTTTACTTCGTTCCCCCTCATCCGTGGCCACTCACCTGGGAGCTCAGGTGTTGGAGCTGGGGGGCGCCGACTGCAGGTGCTTGGATGCCAGGCAGCCTCCTCGAGCCTCTCCGTGGCCCACCGCCACCTTTCCCTTCCTTGGCAGACACCTCTCTGGTGGCCCTGCTGCTCCCTGAGCGCCTCTTCTGTGCGAACAGCAGAGCGGCAGCTGCTTGTTGCTGCTGACGGCCAGCGCTGTCTCTGCGTCAGCTTTTTTGTTGTTGGTCATCCAGGAGATTCAAGTGTCAGATTACATGGGGCGGCCAGACCGCAGGGGAGCCAGCGCCACTGCTCCAGGACATGGTCAGGGAGTCCCTGCTGGGAACTTGTCCTGGGGAGGTCCCCGCGAGGGCCACTCCCTCCCTTCTTGTTCCTCCTCCTCTCCCTCTCCCTTTCTCTCTCCCCCTCCCTCTCTTCCTCCTGGTAGGTGTCTGCTAAGCCATGCGGGCTGGTCCTGGGTTGTGAGCTGATAAAAGAGGAGGTCGCTCTGGTTCCCTAGCAAAGATGACCCCAGGGAGGTTCCAGCTGAGACGTGGAGTGGGGAGGGAGGGAGGCCCCAAGCACCCAGCTCTTTGGCGTCTACCCCACCCTTAGGAGGGCCTTTGGGCCCCCATCCCATGACCACCCCAACCTGTCCCTTGAGGGACTCCCCAGCTGGTCCCTCCCTCTGGCCTCTCCAGGGAAAGTAGTGGGGGCAGAGACCACCCAAGCAGCCACCCCGCTGGGGGCATCCTGTGGGAGAATTTGGGAGTCCTGAGTGACTTGAGAGTGGCCTGTGCTTGGCCTGCTTGCTGGGGAGGTGCCTCATGCTCCTGGGGCCTGGAGGAAAGTGGACGCTGCTGGTCTCCTTGCCAGAGTGTCTGCTGGGCCATCTCCGCACCCCTGGCTTGGCCGTCAGAAGCAGGCTCTGGAGCCGGCGACGCTTTTTGACATTTGGCTGGTTGTGCCACCGCAGCCAACCAGGCTGTGCCTGGAGCAGCACAAGAGCTGCCCCCGCCCGCATGTGTGAGCTGTCAGTGGAGCCCTTTGAGTGCGAGCACAAAACCCCAGTGAGTCAGGGCTTGGGGGAGGGCAGGGGGATGGAAGCCAACCTTGTGGCCACACCACTTGGATGCCAGAGGCTCCCAGAAGCCAAACAGGCAGCCGCTGTGCAGATGGACTCAGTTGACGGAATGCATTACACGTTGCTTCTAGGAGCGATGGGCATAGTGCCCTCTGGTGGCCGCCTTGGCCTTACAGTCTCGGGTTGTTCAGAGCTGCATTCTCCACTCAGATGAAGGGAAGTCCCTGAGACCAGGCTTCCTAGGGGCTGCGTAACAATCAGATCTTGTCCTTGGAGCCTGCTCTTTAGGGTCTCAGCTGCTTAATGGGTTTCTTGCAGTGCTCTCATTGAGAGGAGTTCTGGTTAGAGCCGCGACACCAGCTATTCATGTCCCTGGGATATGACACCTTGGACAGCTCTGCCCCACCCCACCCTCTGCCACATCTTGTGGCTGGACAGGCCATTTGTAAGGGCTTTGATCCCGGGGCCTCTGTACCTGCCCCCATAACCAACTGCCCCCAACCTAGGGAGTCATAAGAGGGACAGCTAGAGGCTAGCACCCCACAGGAGCCGTGACAGGGCCAGGGCAGTGGAAGATGTGATGAGGACTCTGCCAAGGCTGCATCTCCCCACTGCCTCTCCAGTGACTAGCAGAGATGCCAGCTCTCAAAGCTGTCTGGTTCCTGCCCTCGGGCAGCTCCCCGCCCCAGCTGTGTACACTGGGCTGGGCAGAGAGGCTTGTTGGGGACAACAAGAGGTCACTAAGAGACCAAAGCAGAGCTGAATGCTGAGGTCAGGGAACACCTCCTGCTGTTCCCTCCCTCTCCCACCCCCAGAAAAGGGGGAGGAGTGCTCATGGTAAGAACCCTCGCTGTTCTCCGGCAGGCGCTGGGCTTCAGCGCTGCTTCTCAGCGGCCGGCACACAGCCCTAGGGAACAGCGCTCTTGCACGGTTTCACAGGCGAGCCTGCGTCAGCTTGGAGAGGTCAGATGCTCTCCCCAGGGGGGCAGGGTCAGCGGCAGGGTCTCTGACCCCAGACCCGGAGCTCCTCCCAGGACACAGAGGGGATGGGACCAGAGGACAGGGGCAGGGCCAGAGGAGGGAGTAGTCTATAGAGAAGTTAGAACTGGGGTCACACTCTGGCTCTGCATTCCCCCTGCCCCCATGCGACCTGACTTTGGGAAAGCGCCTTCACCTCACTGTCCTCATCTGTAAAGTGGCAACCGAGATACCTGTGAGGCTCACATGTGAGATGAGAACGCCGTGCTTAGCACAGTGCCGGTCACTGTGCCAGACACAGTCCCAAGCTTAGGGACTGGATGAACTAATGTTTGCCAGGGCCCCTCACCCCTCGCCTCTGCCCTGCTGTCTGCTCCAGGTGCCGCCATGCTGCTATTGCCAAATACTTTGGGGATGCGCCCCCCACCTGCACCAGAGGCTGCGACCACTGCCAGAACCCTGCAGCTGTGCAGAAGCAGCTGGACGCCTTGGAGCAAAGAAGCAGCTGGAGCAAGACCTGCATTGGGCCCTCCCAGAGGAATGGCTTCGACCCTGAGCTCTATGAAGGAGGCCGCAGAGGCTCCAGGGGCTTCAGCAGGTGAGGGGCTATGAAGCCAGGGACCCCCAACCCACTGGAAATAGTCTGGAATTCTCTCCTTGGTGCCAAGGCCAAACCAGAGGCAGCACCATGCCACAGTCCATCCCTCTGCTTTGTGGGCTGCTTGGGGGTCAGGACCTCGGTGCCACCTGAGCTACCAAGGCATCAGGGACATCACTGCCCCTCCAGAGGTGCGGGGGTAGGGCCAAGCCCAGGCCAGGGTTGCTCATGCCTAGCCTGTCCCCTAGATACGATGAAGGCTCTGGAGGCAGTGGTGACGAGGGCAGAGATGAGATGCACAAGCGGGAATGGAACCTCTTCTACCAGAAGCAGATGAGTCTGCGCAAGGTGAGGCATGGGGACTAGGCAGGGTCCCAGGTGGCCTCCTGCTCACACCCTCTCAGCCCTTCCCTGGTGCTGAACTGGGTGCTAGCCTGCAGCGGCCAGGATGCCTCACAGGCCTTTCATGTGATCTTCTAGGGCAAGGACCCCAAGATAGAAGAATTTGTACCCCCAGGTCAGTACAGGAATGTCCACAGGGGCTTGTGAGCTGTTTCCAGGGTGTGGATGGGGGGTGCTTTCTTAGAGGGTTGGGGGCTCGAGAGCAGAAGGTAGAGTGGAAGAACCCACTCCTTCTCCCCCCCAGATGAAGACTGTCCCTTGAAAGAGGCTTCTAGCAGGAAGATCCCCAGGCTCACTGTGAAGGTAAGAGGTGGGCAGCTCCTCACAGCAGCCCCCCAGCCTCGAGGCTTTTGTGACCGGCTTCTCTCCCCGTGTAGGCCCGTGAGCACTGCCTGGGGCTTCTGGAGGAGGCTCTGAGCAGTAACCGCCAGGCCACAGGTGCCACTGATGGGTGAGTGTCCTAGATCGAGGGGCTGGGGAGGGTTCTCCAAGCTCCTGTTCCTTTAGAAACCTCAGGAACCCCGAGCCCCCCTGGCCTGTTTGGATGCCCCCTCCCAAGATGGCGGCCCATCCTACTCCCGGGGATGCAGGGCCCCACACCCCCAGTAGGGGGCAGGCTCGTCCGTAACTGAGGGGCTGCAGGTTTCCCGGAGAATCCAGTTCCCAGTCTCTGTGCCCCTCACCTGCTGACGCCCCTGTAGCCTCTGTGGCCATTCCCAAAAGGCCCCAAACCATCCCCAGGGTCCCCAGGGAGAATCCAACAAGAGCTCAACAGGGAGAAGGCTCAGGCCTGCCTGACACCTCACAATCATTTCTACCCTCAGACTTGATCTCCGGGCCACGGCTGTGGAGCTGGAACATGAGACATTCCAACACGCCAAGGCAGCCAACCTGTACAAGGCCAGCGTGCTGAAGAAGGTGGGCCCCGGGCGGGGCGGGGCGGGGCACGCTCACGGGCCAGGGTGAGGGAGGCGCACCCCCCGCCCCGCCCCCAGGTAGCCCAGAACCCACCCCCACCCAAGAAGCCACTTGTCGGGAGTGGGGGTGGAATCCGACTTCCCTTCTTTGCCAGCCGGAGGTATCTCTAGCCAATCCCATGAGGAATAGACCTTGTCCCGTGTCCAGCTGCCTGTAGCCACTGGCCACAGAAACCCACCTGTGGAAAGCCTGGGTCGGGGACTGTCAGGAGCTAGTGGGCATCATGGCGTGCCTGCCTGTCCCCGCCCCAGGTGGCTAAGATCCACAGAGCCTCCAAGGACGGGCAGCTGTACGACGTGGGAGGCAGTGCCAAGAGCTGCAGTGCCCCGGCCGAGCCCCCAGAGCCCACTGAGTATGACATCCCGCCGGCCTCCCAGGTGTACTCGGTGAGCAGGGCCCTGGCATCCACCCCAGACCCGGGTCCGGGAAAGGCACCACTTCCCTGCGCCCTCAGCTAGGGCCCAGTGTCTTGCCCTCTCCTGGCGTGACAGCCTTGGTCCGAGGGTGGCCCAGGGCTTCCCTGCTCTGCCAGCTGTACCCTCCGGCCCCACAGCGTTTCTCCCATCTGCCTTACCCCCACGCGGTGTCGCGCCTGGCTTTCTGTCCCCCACTCACAAGAGCCCACCAGCGCGGCCATACCTGGACCAGCCAGTAAGTGCCCTCGAGGGGGCCCGGTGGTCAGAACCCTCTCTCCTCCTCACAGCTCAAACCCAAGCGGGTGGGAGCTGGGTTCCCCAAAGGCTCCTGCCAGTTCCAGACGGCCACAGAGCTGATGGAGAAGACGCTGGCCAAGGGGGAAGCCCCCCAGCCTGTGCCGGGAGGAGAGCAGGAGCCCCCGGGCCGGCCCTGTGACCTCCAGGGTGAGGACAGCAGTGAGCCCAACCCTAGGCTCAGAGGAGAGGCCCCCAGAAGCAGTGCTCACTGTGGGGGCCCCTCCCCCAAGAAGAAGGCGAAAGGCCCCTCTAGGGGCAGTGCCATTGCCAAGACCAGGGCCAACAAGAAGCAGCAGCTCCTAGCCACTGCGGCTTGCAAGGATTCTCAGAGCATCACCCGCTTCTTCTGCCAAGGGGCCGAGAGCCCGGCTCCACGCACTTCAGCCCCAGGGGCGAAAGGTGCCAGCCCCTCCTGTGAGGGGGTGCGGGGACCGCCAGCCGTGACCCCAGAGAAGTGCACAGGGGAGGAGGACGGAGCCCCGGGGCATCTGGCTGCCTGCGCCCAGACGAAGGAGCGCACCAGGTTGGGGCCAAGGTAAGGGAACAGGTAGTCTTGGAACCCTCTGGAATTCCCTTTGCTAACCAGGCCTCTGAAGCTCGGGGCCCTTCCTACCGTGGGCTCTGCGGGGCTGCTTGAGCCGAGGGCACAGCTAGTACCTAGGGCTCTGACACTGCTTTCCCCTCTGCCAGTGCCCGCCCTCTCAGAGACCAGGGGCCCCCTGAAGGCCAACCTACCCTCACAAAGGAGACACAGAGGGGCAAGCGGCCCAGACCCCTGCAGGTATTGACCGGGATGAGGCGACGGCAGGAGGGAGGAGGCCTGCGGACCGGACTGGTCTCTGATCCGCTCTGGATTAGGGGTTTGGGGAATATCATCTTTTCACATCCCAGGGGCAGTTGGGATGGGCTGAAGGGAGCCAGCAGGTGCTGTGGCTCATTCTTCCAGAAGGAGGGGAAGGGCCAGTGACAGGGAGCCCAAGAGTGACCCTCCACTATGGCCCTGCCCAGGAGAACCCAGAGAGCCAGGCTCAGAAGAGGCCTCGCCCCTCAGCCAGTGCCTCCGTCTTAGCTGAGGCCCGGCACAATATCTCGGCCAGTGATCAGGGCGCTGTGAATGCCACGGCCCAAGCCTCCCACCAGCTCCCACCTCCTGGCATCTCCTTGAAGGTGGCTGCGAACATCGTGGTCCAGTGCCTAACCCCTTTCTACAAGGAGGGCAAGTTTGCATCCAAGGTAGGGCAGGTGTCCCTGGGCAGTGGGAGCACAGGGAGCGTGAGCCGCAGTGGGGACGCAGGCTAGTGCTGAGGCCAGCTGCCCCCTCCCTTGGCATGCCTTGACCTTGGGTCACGGCTGTAGGTTGTGGGGGGCAGGGGCAGGGCAGGGGCCGTGCTCCTTCTTCCTCTTCACCCTCTGCCCCCAGGAATTGTTTAAAGCCTTTGCCCGCCACCTGTCGCACTCCTTAACGCAGAAGCCCTGTCCTGGGAGGAGCGGTAAGTGCCAGCACTGCCGGGCCTGGAGGCCCCTGGGGGGCTCTGCAGGGAGGAGACTGGCCCTCACATTCCCCTGCCCCGAATCTGCAGTGAAGGAAGAGGCCCAGAACCTCATCAGGCGGTTTTTCCATGGCCGGGCCCGGTGCGAGCGTGAAACTGACTGGCACGGCCTATGTGACCCACAGAGATGAGAGATGACTGACCGCTGCCCAGCAGGGCCAGTGTGCTCCCCCGGACTCTGCCGGAGCCAGCCTCGGCCTGACTCAGGCTGGGGGAGGTAGCCAGGCTTGCTGCTGCCAAGGGCTTCGTCTCTTCTCAGGGTCTTTCCCCTTTTCAACCACATGTTGCTGCGGAGGTGGCCCTGGACACCTCCCGCATCAGGGTTAGAGGCCAGAGGTCAGCCCACCTTCCTTTCTTCTGCCTCTCCTGGCCCTCATGGCTGGATTTTCTGAGCCAGACCCCAGATCAGAAGGAGGCAGGTGGTGTGGCTGCTGCCAGGGGAACAGGAGGAAGAAATGGTCCCTTCACCTCCAGCACTTGAGTTGTGAGCCGGGGTGAGGTGCCCCCGTACGAGGCATTGGGGTCTCCTCAGGAAGAGCCCTGGGGCCCAGGTGCAGAGGGGCAGCGGCCAGGCCCGGCTCCCTCTCGGCTTCTGGTCAGGAAGGCCGGGCCGTACCAAGACGTTTGCTAGAGGAATAAAGTCCTGTTTGTCCCAACACGTGTGCGCGGACACGGCCCTTTTCTCTAAGGAGTTTTATTTCCTCGGCAGCTGCTTCTCCCAGGTCAGGGCTGTGCTGATGCTGGGTCAGGGCCGGGGCCAGGTGGGCGTCTCCCCCAGACTGGGCAACACCAGAGGCCCACGCCACGTTCCTGCAGCTCCCCCAAACCCACCCCCCAGAACAAGTCTCGCTGTTCCCCTTCCAAGCTGATGTCACTGTAGCAGCCGCTGCCTCATGGCCTCCCCCTGGGCCAGCCAGACTGTGCTGCGGCAGGTCCCCAAAAAGCCAAGCCATGAAGTCCAAACCAAAGAGAACTGACGGCCTCCAAGGGAGACTGTCCACCGGAGACTTGAGCCGGGGCGGGGCCTCTTCCTCCTCCCCGCCCCTCCACTCCTCTTCTCGGGCGTGGCTAGCCACTAAGCGGGAGCGTTGCTGCTGTCCAGCAGGAAGGTGATGGTGTGCCGCAGCTCCTGGGCCTTCCCCGGGCGCAGGCATGTGAGGACGGGCTCCCCAGCCAGCCCCCACCCCTGTGCCTGCCCATCCCACTGGGCATGCCAGGCCTGGGCGAGGCACTCGCCCGCTTCCCAGGGTAGTTAGAGGCCCTGGCCACTCACCTGTGGCAGCTCAAGCCAGATAGTCCGTGGGCTGTCAGCTGAGCCATAGCTGAGCTCCAGGCCAGGGGGCCCTCCTGCCTCCCGGGGGCTCAGCAGGTGGAGCCGATGTAGGTCGCTCAGGGCGATAGTGCAGAACAGTGTCTGAGGGCAGCAGAGACACAGCTTGGCCCTCCTCTCAGGGGAGGGGTCAGTGTGGGTGGTGAGCGGAACAGCCCAAGGGTGCCCAGGAACACACTGGGACAGGAGCTTGGCCCACCTGGGAGCCGGGGTCCATGAGAATGAGGTGCTGACGGTTCAGCCCCAGGAAGCTGGGGCCGGGCAGGGCCAGCTGGCTCACTCGAAGCACCACGTAGACAGTGTAGCCAAAGAGAGGCAGCTGGCTCACGGCCTCTGGGGACGGAGAGGTGAGCCGGGGGTCCTGGCCACTGGGGCCCTGAGACAGGGCAGGCGGCAAAGCTTCCCCAGCCCCTCCACCCTTACCCCTTCCCTCCTGTGCCGCCCACCCGCCTCCGCCCCAGCAGCCCCCTTGCCCCAGACCCACCGATAAAGCTGATCTGTGCTTCCTGGGAGCTGCACCCTTGCAGCTGCCTCAGCTCCTGGCCTGTCAGGCTCTTTATGGTGGCCATGCTCCCCTGCCATTGCAGTGGATTCGGCAAGTAAGCCAGCAGGTCTTGCCTAGGACACAGCAGGTCAGTCAAGGCTGGGCATATAGCAGGTGCTAAGAAAATGAACCAGTGGCTACTGTGGGTGAGACTGGGGATCCAGACACACAAGTGAGGCGAGGCCCCTGCCCTTGAGAAGCTGGGGATGGGGAGAACAGGTGCACACAGCCTCCAATGCTCCAGGCCCATCTGGTTAGGACCAAGAACAGTATAGTCGAGTGGCCTTGACATTGGAGGAGGGCTGCGGGGTAGTGGGCTGAAGGAGAGGCTCTTGGGGTGGGTGCCTACCTCAGCACCAGGAGGGATAAGAGAAGTGACGGTGTTGGGGCCACGCTCACTTACTCTGAAGGGGGGTCCTTGTGGGCCCCGCTGAGGAGCTGGAGGGCAGCTAGCCTGGCAACTTGGGCATCTGCCTGGGCGCTGACCAACAGCTTCCCTTCCAGGTAGTCCCGCTGCACCTGAGAGGGCAGAGCAGTGAGGGGCAGCTGTGCCCAAAAGCCCCGCCCATGCCTGCCCACATCACTTCTCCTTGGGGGGAGGGAGGCTTGGCGATGCCCGCCCCGGTGGGGCTGACCTGGCTGTAGTGGGTGTTGATGTAGGCGAGGTTGTCAAAATGCAGCCGGGTCTCCCAGCTGAGCCGCCGGCTGTGCAGGCTCATGTCCTCGTCCACCACGCTGTTGATATACTCGTGGGGCCGCAGGGGCCGCACCGGCTTGCCTGCGTGGGGAGCCTAGGTTCATAGCCCCGCCCACGGCCCTGCCACCCCAGCATGAGGCCGCCTCGCTCACGGGCCCCAAGGAGGACCTGGCAGGGAAGCTGCCGCTCTGAATCCAGCCTGGCAAGGTGGCTCACCTTCGCCTTTGACAAGGAAGAGGGCGAATTCCTGCACTTCCTCGGGGTCCATGATCCCCATCTTCTCGCATAGCTCCTCCAGCACTTCTGCGGCCACCTGGGCATGTGGACATGCCATGATGCTGGGAGCTTGGGAGTGTCCCCGGAACTGACGCCCACAGCTTCCCTGCCTCTTCCCAGCCCCTCTGGTGGCCTTGTGCTCACCGTGAAAGTGTGGATTTTGGTCTTGTAATGCACGTCCCCGGGCAGATGAATTAGAAGCAGGTAGGCCATTTTTCCTTTCTGCCAGGCATGTGGTAGAGTCAGCCCACCGGTGGGTGGACAGAGGCCCCAGTTCCCCCCACCGAGGGAGTACCCCTAGTACCAGGAAAGCCTTCATTTCACCCGGATAGGGCAGCCGCCGGCGCCCTCCATATTTGACCGAGCGCTGGAGATGCTCCTGGCTGCTCCGGGCCAGCTCTGCAGAGAGGAGCCAGGCTGGGGTCACGAGCACCTCCAAACCCCTCCCCAGGCAGAGGAGACCCTAACCTGGAAGCCCCTCCCATAGGCACCTTGACTCTGGCCTGAATCCTGCAGAAACTTGGTCAGGTAGGGCATCAGCGTGATCGACGGGATGAAGAAGCCAGTGAGGAGGCTGAGGAACTTCCAGCCTCGGGCACAGAGTTCCCTGCAGGGCAGAGAGCCTGGGCTCAGGCTGCCAGGCCGCAGCAGCAGGCTGCCTTCCGCCCTCCCCGCCAGCCCCCCACACTCACGGCTGGGGGTGTCCCGTGACCTGCTTGATGACCTGGCAGTAAATCTCGTCCCTGAGGTTCTCCTCTCGGCACAGCTGTGGGGACAGGATGGGCAGGTGGGCAGGGCGGGGGCAGTGGGGCTGGGCAGAGCTGTAGTGTGATAGAGTGAGGGATGGCGTGGGATCTGAAGTCAGGGAAATCCTGCTGGGGGCCGGGGGCCATCTCTGGGTCTTTGTTTCACTCAGCTTGACTGTATCTGCCCAGCTCGTCGTCACAGATCACCGCTTCTAGGTCTTCTCCCTTCCCTGGTCCCTCCGTCTTGGCATCTCTCCTGGCAACCCTTGTTCCTGGACTGCTAAGGGCTGCAGTGCCCTTGGGCCCCTGTCTGCCCTCTCTCCCCGATGCTCTTAGCCGCTTCCATCTGCCGGTGACCCCGGTGTCTGCCTCCAGTCCAGACTTCTCCCTTGGACCCCAGGCCCTGCACTTGGAAGTCTGGGACTTCAGGCTTCATATGTCTGAAATTCCTTCACCAGCCGGGACCCGCTCCTCCCTCAGACTTCCTCATCAAAAACATTCATTGCTCTGGCCAAGGACTTGGTGGCATCCTCGGCCGCTCCCTCACGCTCCGCATGCAGTTCCTTGGAAACCCGCTGTTCTGAGTCTTCTCTCTGCTGCCACCTCTAGGCCTGTGTCGGTGCCACCTCTCAGCCGGGATCCTTGCCATTACCTTTTGCCCTTATGCCTCCAGAATAGCAAGCAACAGCCAGAGCGACTCCAGGAAACAAAAGCCACATCTCTCTTCAAAAACCCTCCAGTGATTTCCTATCTCTCTTGAAAAAAATCAAAGTCCTGACAACAGTCTGAAAAGCCTGCTGTGACCTGGAGCCCAGCACCTCCCAGGCCGTATTCTCCACTCTCCCGCTAGCTCTCCGGGCTCCAGCTGGCCCTGCTGGTGCTGAGGGTCACCCTCTCATCAGGACTGTCACTCCTGCCTCTCTCTATGTCCATATGGGCTGCCCCCCATGCACACATGCCTCACTCCCTGGCTTCCTTCAGACCTCTGCTCCAGCGTCATCGTGTCACCAAGCCCTCCGTACTCAGCAGCCCTTTGCCTGCTTTGCTCCCCACAGCACTTTTCGCTCCCAGACGTGGCTTACTGACCGTCTCCTCCCACTGGCTTGTAAGCTCTGCGGGCACTTAGCCTGCTTGGCTCACCGCCACGCCCCCGGCACACAGTATTTGCTCAATGAACACTTCTGGGTGATTTGAATGAATAGTGACCAAAGGAAGGGAGAGCCCATCGAGGCCCAGGCAGGAGGACAGGAAGGCAGCCTAAGGGCTCCCAGCATCTCTCCCAGCTTCCAGCGCACACAGGTCCTGCTTGCTTACCTTCAGCAGCTCGTAGAGGAGAGCCATGTCGTCCTTGTCCCGGGGCTTAGCCTGGTCCCCCATAAACTGCATCAGAGCTGCAGGCAGGATGAGAAGCATGGGAAGCTGGGCTGGGTACCTGGCCTTGGCTCATGCTGTCACCACACAGGGCCTTCCCCTGCCATCTCATGCCTCGCTCTCAATATGTGTGTAAGCCAGGTAGAGCGGCAGCCTCGGCTTTACTGATGGGAAACAAGGCTCGGAGAGATTCTGTGGGTGCCTGTAGCCCCACGCAGTGCCCAGTGAGCTGGGCCCACCTCTGCCTTCCAGCCCAGAAGCCATACAACCTACAACCCCTCAGGCAGAAGTAGAAGTGGGTGAGGGCTGTGGGGATGTAGGAACCACCAGTGTGCTGCCCTGAGTTGGCAAAGTCAAGGAGAGAAGGCGACCAGGCGCCTAGGTCCAAGGCACCGCAGACATGGGGACCCAGGATGGCCACTCACTCCGGAAGCTTTCCACAGCCTGCCTGTTCATGTCCTCATCACTGAGGCTGATGAGCGATTCCTGGATGGGAGCCTGTAGCCAAAGAGGCTGGGCTGTGAGTCTGGGGTCCATGGGGACCAGAAGGCAGGTCCATTGGCCTGACTCTTCCCCAGCTGCCCCCCTACCTTGGTGTACTGCACCAGGCTGGCCATGGCCTTTTCTGTAGCACCTCCCTCTGTCTGGTCCAGCCTGAAGGGACAGAGAGGACGGCCCTGCTCACTCGGTCCTCCTGCCACAACCCAGGCTATGTAGGGAGGGTGCTAAGAGCACTGGCCTGGTGGCTCTGAGCGGGGAGGCCCACTTCAGGGAGACTGGGGACAGACAGGCACAGGGGAGGGCCCAGGGCACTCACAAGGTCTGGGGCTTCCGGAAGTATTGCAGGGCAAACTCCTGCATGGTGTAGTTGTGGGAGACAGAGGCCATAGAGAAGGGCAGGCTGGAGATCTCTGAGTCACTGTGTGTCTGGCTCCAGGAGTGGACAGGACCCTGGGAGCACAGGAGACCTGGTGCCACCCGAGCACCCACTGGCCTGCCCAGAGGCCCTGACCCCAGCACCCCCCACCCTTACCTCCGCCCCGAGCAGCTGCAGTGAGCACACCACCAGAAGTCAGGAAAGTCAAGAGCTTTTTATTGCATATTTTCTATGGCAGCACTGAACTAAGTGCCACTAGAGACACACAGGGGGCAGACAGTGCAGCCCCTGCCCTCAGGGAGTTCGCAGTCTTGCTGGGGTGACAAGGCAAGAAATCGAGATTGGGCAGAGGGGCAGCAACAGACCAAGCTCTCCCACCGAGCGCCAGGGTGGTCCTCGCTGCTCTGGGCCAATCGAGCCCTTTCTTTCCTCGAGTCCTAGTCAGGCCTGGCTTCCACCTCTCCCGTCTTCCTCACCTCCAACGTGCTGTCACACTGAGCCAGCCCGGGCTCTCTGCGCTGCGGCCGACTCTTGTGCTGGCCCGTCCTCGGCTCCGGCGAGAAGGAAAAGTCTGGAGCAGCAGCAGGCTGCACCATGTTGGCAGGAAAGAGTCCGGAACGGCCCCCGGTGGAGCCGAACTGCCAGCCTGGAAGGCATCCGAGGATGGTGCCTCACCCCCTCAGCCCCTCTGCCCGTCAGAGGCTCCGCCACGTGCTGCCCGCCCTGTGTCAGTGCCCTGCTTGCCCTTGGAGATACCTGGCTCCAGAGAGGCCATTGGCACCAGCTTGATGAGGTCCCCACGGTGGAAGCTGAGGAGGCTCCCGTCATCAGTGATGTAGCTTCGCAGGGCGACAACGTAGCCGGAGTCCTACAGCCAGCGGGGTGAGTGGGCCTGTCCTGCCCGCCCCACCTGCTCCCCACTCCGTTGGCCTCTTTTTCACCTGAGCACCCCAGAGTTCCAGGGACCCAGCCAGAACTCCCAGCCCCACCCCAGGCAGCTCGAGGGGACTTGGCTGACAGCCCTGAGACCAAGCAACCCAGACGGGGTGCCATGCAGCATCAGTGGAGACCCCCCACCTGGCCCCCCACCTGGCCCATGCTTGCCTTCTTGAGCTCACTCAGGAACAGCTCAACCATGGCCTTGATGGCACTCGCCCGGGCTGTGTGCAGCACCAGCTGCTCATTCTTAAGTGACAGCTCCAGAGTGGAGCTGCCCCGGCACTCCAAGCCCAGCACCTCAGCAAAACTGTGCACAGGGCGGGAGCGTGAGCTGGGGGCCATCGCGCCATCCCCCACCCTCACAGCCCAGGCTCACCTATATGAGCAGAGAATCTTCAGCTGATTGGGGTGGAAGCTGGGGCTCCGGGTCACCTTGAGCAGTCTCAGCCCACGGTGGGACACACCCAGCAGCTGCACATCGCTGCCACTCTCGCCCTGCCCGGAAGGTGGGGTCAGAAACAGGCCGCTGGGTCCCCTCCACCGTCCAAGATGCCCCAGGGCTGCTCAGGGCCATTGCTGTTCTTTGTCCTTCCACTGGGGCGCACCCACCCCCAGCTCTCATCCCTGCTGCAGAAGGCCCAAGCTGAGTGCTGGGATCCGGACTGAGGTGCCGTCATCCCCAGCCCTGCCCCGCCGCTCACTGACCGAGACGGGGAAGATGCGGGAGAAGTAATTGGCCCAGTTGTCCCTGGCCGCCATCACGATGCGCTTCTTGACGCTGTCCTCAGTGGTGACAAGCGAGTCCAGGCCCACCTCCAAGTCTCCTGCAGGCAGGCATGGCCCCAGATGGTCCTCGGGCTCCCTCCCGGCAGGCCCAGCCCCCCGCGCACCCCAGTACCCTGACCGCAGGATCCCTGGACTCTACCCAGCAGGTCTTTCATTTTGTGCCGCTCGTCCTGGGAGATCCGGATGCAGGACTCGGCAAAGGTGTCCCTCAGGATCTGGGGGCAGAGCCAGGGGGTCACCACCAGGTCCTGAGGCCAGAGCCCACCGCGGAAGCAGCCACAGGGCGAGAGCCCGCGGGTGTAGGCAGAGCAGGGAGGGGAGCGGGCTCTCCAAGCCTAGGCTTCCAACTGCCTGCTGCTCCTTGGTCAGCGGAGACAAGCTCCCCTGAAGAAGCAGAACTTGGGGGAGACTACTGTAGATTTGGGGGGACAGGCACGACCCTGGGAACATCCAGAGGTGGCAAAGGAACAAGCACCAGTGAGTGAGTGAGTGCCTGCGGTGTGCGGGCGCCTGTACTGGGTGCTGTATACGCCTTAGTTTTAATCCTCGGTATAGGCCGATAATAGTCCTAACTCGCAGGGACGTTATAAAGGAGGGCAGGGCTTGAAACACAGCGAGTGCCCCCTGAGTGCTGGCTGTCCCCCTGCCCCTCCGCTGGCAGCAGTGGGGCCTGGGTGTGGGGGCACTCTGTCTGTACATGTCACAGGTGGGCCGGGCTCTCACCTGCTCACAGAGGAGCCTGAGGCTGTAGGGATGGCTGAAGTTCTCCCGGGGGTAGAAAACCTGGAAGAAGGCATGGGAGAGAGAGAGTGGGCATGGCGCCCCTGCCCAGCCCCCTCCCGTCCCGCTCCCTTCCGCCAGGCCTGAGGAGGTGGGCAGCGGAGGAGGTGTTTGTATGTGGGCAGCCCCCACAGCTTGCCGCCCGCTCCCCAGCCCGAAGAGAGATCAGGCCCCCGTGCCCACCTCCTTGCGCAGGAACAGCCTCCAGGGCACACTGGTGTAGGAGAAGCACACGCTGGCCGAGGGCACAAGCAGCTGGGTGCAGATCCCCTGGTCCCCCATGGGCTCCATCCGGCCTGGCAGAGGGAGGGGCCAGGAGCACCAGGTGAGGAGCGGCCAGAGCAGG